TCCTACTCATAACTTAAAAGCTGCTGCAAGCATCCCCTACTTAGGATGTCTTTTCTGATGCCACCTTTAGGCTGGGTCCCTCCTGGTTCTTCCATGAATCTGCCTATCTATCTCTGCTCCGTGGTTTTTTTTTTGTTTTTTTTTTTAACTCACTTTGCATCATAATGGTTTCTTTGTGTTTGTTTCCTCTGTTAGACCAAGCAACCCTGGTGTCAGAACTGCATGCTCTTTACCTTTCTGTTTCTATTACCTTGTACAGTGCCTGGCACATTGCACTATTAGTTTATGTGTGGCTGAATAAATAAAAGAGAGATCCATGTTTTCCTCCCTGTATGCACTTAGCTTAGCCTTCCCAAATAAAGGTAGAGATACAGGATGCCAGGTTGAATTTGAAGTTCATATACACAACAAATAACGTTTAGTATGAGTTGGTCCTAAATACTACAAGTATCCCATTATTCATTAGTTATCTGAAATTAAAATTTAACTGAGCATCCTGGCAACCTTAACCTAGCAAAAAGAAAATGAGTTCACGTCCAAAGTAGTTCACACAATGCGGAAGCTCACACTGAGCTTGACATCACTTGCCCTAGGGTTTTGTACGGACTGTGCCTTACATCTCTGAATGGCTTGTGTGTGCATAGCTCACAGTACTCACGGCATGGACCTTGCCATAACACTGTGCTGTGTGCCATTGCCTACATGGTGTTTTCCTTTGCATGGCAAGGACATTTAATCTATATATATCTGGGCAATCTAGACAGATGGTCAGAGCCTATTTGTGCAGCATTTCGTGGCATTTCGTGTGGCTGGATGGCGTGTTGTTTTGAAAAGAGAATATTACATGTACCCTTGGTGCTCTGGGCTGAATGTAGAGTTAGCAGTGTGTACCTTCTTAAAATCTGTAAAACCCAGGATGTGGGTTTTAGATTTTCTTAGAGAGTTATGACTGGAAAAGGACTCGCAGTTGACGTTCCTGCTGAGGCCAGGATGCCCCTGAACTGATGGACTGAAGGCTGAGCATGGCTTGGAGAAGTATTGTCTCCAGTTTAATGAGGTTGTTTACTTAGCATGTCCCCTATTAAAGAATCAGATGACTGAAGTATTATTTTGATTGAAGGACATTTTTTTTTCCAAGTTAGAAACACCCGAGTTGTTAACAGTTTATGTTTTCAGAAGGCGAAAGTCTTTCTCCATGTCTTTTCTCCCGTCCTCCTCGTGCCAAATGGATAATTATGGAAATTCCTCAGCTAGGACAGTTGGGCAGAGTTTTAGATATTTACCCCATAGGAGTCAGACATGTTCTCTCAGGAAACACTGAATTCTAATGGCAAAGAGATTGCCATCCCCCCCCACCACCATAAAAAAAAAAATCCTGAAACATTTTTGTGGCCTCGGTATCATAATCTTGTCAGTAAAACGATGGTCTCTGATTAGATCCAGATTGAGCTGTTTCCTGTTAGTGTGCTAACCCAGAGGGCAGGCTCAGCCCTCCATGTATTCCTCTCCGAGTCTGGGTTATTAAACACTTGTCTGCCAAAGCTCTCCCCCTGCCTCCCCCACTTTCCTTTTAAACTAGAATTCAAAGGTACTGAGATATTACATATAAAAACAGATCCTAAAGTCTCTTGAAAGGGTTCTGTAGCTAGTGGATATTTTGCTGCAAAAATTAAATGAAGATTTTAGCTTCTCCAGTGTGATTCATACAGTAGATTTATGTTTTCTGTTTCACTTTTGTATAATTTTATTTCCATGTAATTCCAGGAATAAGCAGATAATTTCAAAATTTCTGTTTCACAAAAATGTACTCTATTTGAGGGTTGGTAAATTAGAAGTCGTCTTCAGAAACCTTCCCTCTGCTCTAGCAAGTTGATATTAGGGTGCTTAGCAAATGTGCAGAACATGACATGAAGCGAGTGCCCTGACACCTTAGCACGCGTTGTGAATTTTTGTGAGAATGATTGTAGGCACCAGAGCAATTCCCATACTTCATTTGATATTGTCATTCATGCTCACTCGTCGCACTTAGAGAATAATTTTTAACATCTAAATAATCAAAGTATTTTATGAGCTATTCTGTTAGCTCAAACATGGTTCTTCCTAATGTACAGATGCAAACACTGAGGAACAAAAACCATTACAGGGAGGTATGGGGATCAGGCATGCATATAGAGATCCTTTTTTCCAGAGGAAAAGGAGGACCAAAGGAAGTGACTGGGTTAATGAGTAGCAGGACTCCATTCCCAAGGGAGAGACTTGGCTTCCTGCCAAATCTGCTTTCTGGCAGGAAAGGGGACCCCCTTCATCAGGTCCTTTGACAAGTATTTTTCTCTGTGTTTGAATTTTTGGCTACATTGGTGCTCAGAGAAAAATTAGTTCTTTTAAGTCGTTTTCGCTTTCAATAAAGAAAAGATTTAAAGCGGGATTTGCATGGTGAGTAAAATAAGAATCCTCAAATTACAGGACTGTTTGGTGAGGAAACAGTGTCACAAGGTAAAGAAACTTGATTTAGAATTAGAGCTTGAATATCCCTCAAGAATGAGAAGCGATGCCTTTCAATGTTGATGTTAACATTTGACATCGCAGCATGTTTTTTAACTACTTTTTAATATTATCAGGCTGATCATTTTTCTGGAACCAGCTCTTTTGAAGTGACAAAGTAAAACATAGAAAACATCCCTACATTTTGGTATTAAGAAACAGGTCAAATGGATAGGGATGTTGGAAGATAAAAATTAACATTATTGTATTTTATCATGTCTTTTTTTTTTAAAGATTTTATTTATTTGACAGAGAGAGACACAGCGAGAGAGGGAACACAAGCAGGGGGAGTGGGAGAGAGAAGCAGGCTTCCCGCGGAGCAGGGAGACCGATGCTGGGCTCGATCCCAGGACCCTGGGATCATGACCTAAGCCAAAGGCAGACGTTTAACGACTGAGCCACCCAGGCGCCCCTCATGTCTTTTTTTTTTTAAGTGAAAAGTGGCAAAAGTGAAATATGGTTTAAATGCATTACAGTGACTTACTAAGCTAATGTTTTCCAAAGTATGTTCATTCTGATGGTCTGCAAGATGCCGTGAAAATAAAGGGAAGTCCATTTGGAAGGATCATGTATCATATCCTTGTCTTAGAGTTTCATAACATGTTAGCATGTTAAAGACAAATCTGCAGTAAAGAACTGTATTTGACTTTGTTTTACTCTGGAGTTCCCAAACTTGGCCACAGGACCTTTTGTTTTAGAACTCGTGTTTACAGCACCCATGTAGGGCAACACTGTACTAACTAGTAAAAAAGTAATTAGACTTTGAAGCCATATATCCTTTCCATTTATTGTTTCTGCTTAAAGTGGATTGACACTCCTGGGAGGACAGACGGATACTATTAGACCTGTTTTAAAACTATGTACAGAGTGATAAAGGACAGTTATTAGGCCATGATCTGAGTCAACAGGCCAAAGAGGCCTACAGAAATGTTTGGTATTTTGCCTGAACCAGATCCCTCCCCTTAGTAAAGTCAAAGTATCCTTCAAGAAGGAAATAAAGAAATAAAGTCATCCACTATGGAAGGTGGAGTCTTACTATTCATTCCTGTTAGCATTTAGACATCATGACATTGAGCTACCCTCACCCTTTTCTGAAAGTGATAGCCACCACTTTGGTCCTACTGGAAGCAGTCTTGCCAGCTAATTTCCTTCCAGTGGTTGAACATCTGACAGGCCAGGTGAAGAAAAAGCCAACGTGAGGCTTCGTGAGTGCAGGGTCATCATTTAGAGATCCGGTTCTCTCTTCTTTGCTCCTCTTCCTTGATTTTCACACATCTGGCTATTTCTGCTATTTCAGTTTAGGAAAATCTGATATGCAACAATTCAAACTTACCGTTGTGAAAAACCACCTGGTGATTGTTTGCCTCATTGACAGTGATGGTTTGCTTTAGAAAAAGATCCTCTTGGTAGGTTGTCTTCGTGCCTGTGAAGGACAAGTTAAGCTGAAAACTGCATCTCTATAGAATTTGTGAGGCAGAGATTTATGGCAGGAGGTAGGGTACATTCCTGTTGTTCTTCAGTTTAATTCTCTTCCCTCAGACTCAATTTTAAGCTTTGCATATCTTATCCATAATCAGTTGGTAAGTTTTATGTCTCCCAAGGGGCGGTTATACCTGCCAATACCATCCACAGTGTCGTTCTCATGTAATAGCTACCTCTCAGGAGCCCATGTCTCTTCTTATTCGTTGCAAGTCTCCAGGAGGCAGGGGTCATATACCCACACACCCTTTCCACCACTCCCCAGAGATTAGCCCAGGGCTCCTTGGTCCAGCCACTTCTGGGTCAATTCCCTTGATTGCTGATGATACTGAATCAGGAAGGCTGTTGCTTCTTGTGGGTTGAAGAATATCAGACCATGGTCAGATCTCCAGAGATTTCCATGGGGATCATACTCCTACCAAGCCTGGTCTTTCAGCCTAGTAACATGTCAGCTGGCTCACACAAATCCTAAAAATCTAACAGTCACCTCTTCAAAGCCAGTATGCATCAGCTCCAGCACACCGCTGTAGGAGCGGTCTTTAAGAATGAGTTTGACGTCAATGAATCATGGAACACTACGTCAAAAACTAATGATGTATGGTGATTAACATAACATAAGAAAAAAAAAAAGGGTGAGTTTGACAGCTTACCATGGAACAATACAAAGGAAATGATCGATTAACTTCTGCTGAGCTTGATTCTGGGGTCAAAGGGAAACATCCTCTTTAGGCCAGCAACCAGGTTCTTGACAGGGGATCAAATAGAAGCAAGTGTAAGCACCATGAAGTAAAGTAACACCCCCCTCCCCCCCACCACCTCGCTCTGCTACACTGAGGTGAGAGAATTGCCTTACATGGCTTGTAGGGAAATGAAATAAGAGCAGAGAAAACGTGACAGGTTGTGTTTCAACCGTTCCAGTGTTCTCGGTTTTACTTTGGGGAGCCATTTCGCCTGATCCTAATCATGAATTTATTGTACAGGTTGAAGGGGACCAGCTGCCTCCAGGACATACAGTCAGTCAGTATGAAACCTGTAAGATCAGGACCATCAAAGCCGGCACCTTGGAGAAGCTGGTGGAGAACCTGCTGACGGCTTTTGGAGACAATGACTTTACCTATATCAGCATCTTCCTGTCAACATACAGAGGCTTTGCCTCCACTAAAGAGGTGCTCGAACTGCTGCTGGACAGGTAAGACTCTAACAGAGTTTGCGAGATGAGAGAAACACGAGAAAAGCTTTCTGCAGAGGGAAGGCGTGCGTTTCGGATTCACCTGCACTCAGTATGCCGAGTGGGATGCATGAGAAAGGATTAACTGGAAGGAATAGCTTTTGGAACAAGTGGCACAAAGGCCATTCAGGAGCCACTTTATGGTTTATTTCTGGTAGAAATACCTTATAAAAAATCTATAAAATATTTAGGAGTACATGCTATAAATCTAGACTCAGTTGAGTATGGGTTTCAGTTTACTATTTGCCACCCTAAAATTTTCTCCATATGTTAATAATTTTATATTATTCTAGTAAATAATCAGTAACCAGGAATCTTATGGGGTTGCTGGGAGAATTAAATATGCTAATATATGTGAAGCATGGAGTTCAGTATTAGACCCGTAGGAAAAAGCTAATGGATGGTAGCTTCAATAATGATGGTGATGATATTATTAACAATTACTGCACATCGACTGCTTTATGGACGTGCACATAAATATTATCCTCAGGTTATGTTGTTAAGTCACATGTTACATATAGCAGAGCAGTGTATATTATAATTCACACAATGATAATTATATTTTCCCCCTCATTTTTGCTTTATTTATAATTAAGTTTGACCTTTTAATAAATTATTATTAAATTGACTTGATACTGGAAGGAAGAAAGCCACCAGTCAGACAATTGTTCTAGAGACATGAGAGTTCTCATCTAAATCCTTATATTCTGGGGTTTCCTGCGTAAGAGAGGAAATGAGATCGGATGTTTTTCTTGGAGTAGTTGAATGCTGACTTTTAGCTAGGTTTTTAAAAAATTTTGAAAGTATTATACGCTCATGTGCTCATAGAAGGGTATAAAAAGAAACATTCATGTTTTCTCATATTGCTACGTTTCCCAAATATCTTTTATTAGGTTTTTAAAAAAATAATGGAAGTAGAAAGAAAAAAATTAAATAGACCATAATCTAGTTAAGCAGATAACACGTATTAACATTTTAAAAATAGAAGTAGTAGAGGCCCTTGGGTGGCTCAGTCTGTTAAGTGTCTGCCTTTGGTCAGGTCATGATCCCAGGGTCCTGGGATCAAACCCCACAGCAGGGAGCCTGCTACTCCCTCTCTCTCTTTCCCTCTCCCCCTGCTTGTGCTCTCTCTCGCTATCTCTGTCACTATGTCTGTCTCTCTCAAATAAATAAATAAAATCTTTTAAAAAATAGAAGTAATCCATATATATAGTGAAAAGTTCAAACAATTCAGAAAATTATGAAAGTAAACATTTTTTTTTCCCCCAAGTCCCACTCCTCCTAGGTAATCACTGTAGACCATTCCTTTTGTATTCTTCCCCAATTTTTCTGGGCATATATACATATATATACACACATATACACTTATATAAATATATATAATATTTGTTCATATTTGATATTTGTTAAAAATATTATTTTTTATATGATATAAATAGAATCATAGTACACAGTCTGTTCTGCAACTTTTTTTTTTTTAACTTATCTGTCTTGGAGATATTTTTTTAAAGATTTATTTATTTTACTAGAGAACACAAGTCAGGGGAGGGGCAGAGGGAGAGGGAGAGAGAATCTCAAGCAGACTCCCCGATGAGGCCAGAGACCACCGCGGGGCTCGATCTCATGACCCTGAGATCATGACCTGAGCCAAAACCAAGAGTCTGACGCTCAAATGACTGAGCCACCCAGGTGCCCCGTCTTAGAGATTTTTTATTCATTAAGAGAATTAACATATGCAAAAAGCCTAGAATAGTGGCTGGCATATTGAAAGCTCAAGAAATGTAAGATATTGTTATTTCAAAATCACATATAGATGGATTACCATATTCTTTTTAGTGGCCTTATAGTATTTATTGAATAGATTATTCTATGGATGGACAGTTAGGCTCTCTCTAATTTTTTAATTTGTTTTTTAAATTTTTAAACAATGCTGCAAAGAGTGTCTTTGAATATATATCTTTGAGAATTCTACAGGATAATTTTATAGAAGAGTGATCAATGGGATAAAATAGATAAACATTTTAAAATGTGAAAGGTGTTGCTAAATCACCCTCCAGAAAGCTGTATCAGCCACATTCCTGTCACAGAAAATGAGAGTTGCCTGTTCCTTCGCTTTCCCCACACCCTTGTGAACTATGGATGTTTTCACCTCTGCCATTGAAACCATCTCTATCATGATCTGTCCATTGAAGAATAGCTCATTGTTTTTAAGTTTATGTTTCTTACATTTGTGAGTGAGGTTTAGCATCTTTAAAACATTTACTGGGCATTTGTGTTTTCTGTTTATGTCTGTTCATATCCTTTTCTTATTTTTGTTTTGAAATATTGTCATCTAATTATTGATCATCTGATTATAATTCTTTAATATTATGAAATTCGTTTTTTGCCTATCATGTTAGAAATATTTTTCCTAATCAGTCCCTTGGTTTTATTTATTTTATTAATTCATTTATTCATTTATTTATTTAAGAGAAAGAGAGAGATAGAGCATGAGCAGAGAGGGGAGATTAGGGAGCAGGGAGGCGACCTGGAGGGAAAAGCAAGCAGGTTTCCTGCTGAGCAGGGAGTCCGACGCAGAGCTAGATCCCAGGACCTCGGGATCATGACCTGAGCCGAAGGCAGATGCTTAACTGACTGAGCTACCCAGGTGACCCTGTCCCTTGGTTTTAAAAGTTGTTTATTAATGGGTCACCTGGGAGGCTCAGTTGGTTGGGTGTTGGACTCTTGGTTCTCAGAGTCTGCTTAAGTTTCTCTCTCCCTCTGCCCTTCCCTCCCATGCTCACTCATGTGCTCTCTCTCAAATAAATAAATATTAAAAAAATAAAAGTTGTTTATTAATATTTTTCATGGAGACATTTAAAGCAATTTTTTATGCAGTCATATCTATCAGTCTTAAGTAAGGCCTTTAATAATAAAGTTCTATTCCAATGTGATTAAAGTTATTGATAACAGTGAGTTCTTCTCAAGGTATTTTCCTCAATAGATGCAAGGCAGAGTAACATCATTTGGACTGATGGTTATTCATATGTTCATATACAGGAACATTGACAAAATGTCTATCTGTCCTTTATCATGCATTGATCTGGACATGATAACTCTGGACTTCAGCATAGATAGAAAGTTCTGTAGTTTTTTGCATGGCAGCACTTAAAATGTTAAGCTTGGAGTATGAACCCGTGGGATTAGTGAGTCATTTCTTTCATGGTTTGTTTGCTTGTATAGTATCTCACACCTATAAGTAGAACTTGGAGAATTACATGAATTTTCTTTTTGCTATTTCATGTGTATATAAAGGATGCAGTATATGCAGTATATGGTTGGCCAACAGTATGGGGAAATAGGTCAACCCATCAAAAACTCCTACAAGTTTTCCTTTGGAATTGGCAACCTCTTTTACTTATGGGGCAACTCTACTGATAATAGGCCACAGATGTCCACAGTCAGTAAAGGAGTGCACATGAATCCAGCTGTTCATCCTAAGTAGTGGGCATACACACAGGAACTAGAGTGTTTAGTCTGTGACTCATGTACATCCAGCTTTTATTTGATGATTTTTAAAATCTTTTCTTCATTCTATTATAGGAGATACACATTTTTGGATTTTTAAAAGATTAACTGGATGACAGTTAATAAATAACACAATCAGCATGAATTCAAATTCATAATTTGAATTCAGAATTCAAATTCAATTTAGTTCAAACTATCATTTAAGGTATAACTGAACAAAAGAGTTAAGATTTATCTTGACCTGTTTGGATGGGCCATGGCTTGGCCTTAAATTTCATCTCATAGTCCTATCCTTTGCTTGCCTCTGAAATGAGTGGAATCAACAAGCACTGAATGCCTATAAAATACCCAATACTCTGCAAGACAGCATTTGCGTGAAACAGAAATAGAAGACTTGGTTGGTTCTCACCCTTGTGGTGAATTTACTGTGAAGCTGTTGGTACTTAACCTCCAGGGTCATTCACTTACTTGCAATACTCTCTTACATAATTTGTATTCACAATTTTGTATTCTTTTTCTTAGAGAGGGCCCTTCAAATTCCATATGCTCTGCAAAAACCTGAATCTACCCCCTGAGAACTTAATATTTTACTGCAAAAGATAAGGCTTACACTCATAAAACAAGTAGGCAACCACTTCAGATGGTGTAAAAATGAAACTCTTAACATGTTCTGTAGAAGTTCGGAGAAATAAATCTCATTTATTTTACTTCCTCTGTGGAAATTTGATTTGTCCATGGTATGTACAAACTCCAACATGAATATTTCTTTCTCCCATTTCCTACTTACTTAGGTCTTGTGGCCAGATGTTAATCTTTGTTTAATTTTAACCAAAATGCAGATACTGTGGAACACTGGGTTCTTAAATTGCTTGTTGGGAGTTTTAATGTCTGTAATTGGGAGGTAAGCAATTAAATTGCACAAACCTACCTTCTCTGAAGATAAATTTGATATACTCTTTTCTTGTTAGTAAATCGTGGTAGGGTTGTTTGTGAGTCTCTGATGTAACTTTTTTATGATTTCTCTTGGTTTCTTAATAGTAGATTGCTTATCTTTTGTGAAATCAACACTGAGAAGTTATTATAGGATGTGCTAATCCTAACCAGTCAAGAATGGATTGAAGGCAGATGCTGCAGTCTTTATTTACCCCCAGAGGAAAGCTTATTTGTTTTTTGTTGTTGAGGAAAGCTTATTTGAAGTCAAGCTTTGATTTTCCTTAAGACTTCCAATCCTGTGACTTTTCTTGTATGGAACTTTATGTGGTTAAAAAAAAAATCTTTTTACACTTTTTTCATTCTGCTAATATGAGTGTTTGTGACTGACCAATAGACAGTGGTTTGAAGTCATATATAGCTAATTCCATGTGTTTGCTTTTTCTCTTGCTTGGGGTTATCAGAGGTTCACCAGGAATCCTGTTTTTCTGTGCTTGTCACCATGGCTCAGTTAATTCTAGGGCTCATTGACTTCCTTTTAACCTAAGAGAAAGTTTTGAATTGTGGCTCAGCGTTTGTGTTAATGCTTTGAGATTTTATTTTCTCTTAACTTCAAATATACATTCCACTTAACATATATTCTTCCCACCATACCATTAAAAAAAAGTGAGGGAGTTAGGTCCCACTGAAAATACCCAACCTCAAATGTAGGGAGAAGCCTACTTCAACTAGTGATCCTCACTGAGGACCATGAAATGTTTATACACATACCTAGATTTTTCTTTAGACACCTGTCATTTTGGGCCATTTCTTGATCATTCTGTCTTTCTCTAATCAATATCCTTCATATCAGAAGTAATCAGAATGCCAGGGACAAGCAGAATAGGGGTGAATGTGTCTCCAGAAACTTTTGCTAAGCCACTGTTGGCACTCAGTTCACAGTTTGGAAAGAACTGAGCACATCTGAAGTACCCCTTCATTTCAAGTGAATTCTCCCAGTGGAGGACTTTTGGAGAGGATAAAGGTTAAAGGCATCCATAAACATTATACTTCAAGACCAATCTGACTTAAATTTGCTTGCTTAGGTCCCAGAGAGGAGACTAATTCAGGGGGTCTCTGAACTTATCTCTTCTTTCTATGTTTTCTTGCCATGCATTTTCACAGACTTCATCTCAGTTTATTTATCATTACATTACTTCCATGTTTACAGGTAAGAAAACTGAGGCTCAGAAACATTGAATCAGTAAGTGGCAGAGCTGGAATTAAAACTTACCTCTTTCTGAGTTGGAATCTTTTTCCAAGCATACCATATTACTTCCCATGATCTGTTTTTGCCATTTTAAAAGGGTGATTTGGGGATCCCCCTCAGCTATACTCAATTGACTTTCCTTGGAAACTACATTACTCTCTTCATGTAGTTGTGAACAATTCACTTGGATATCAATATTCCTATTTGTTCATCTGTTCAAATGATAGTTACCAGATGTTTAATATGTACCATGTACTTTACTGTACAAGGTGCTGTGTATATAATGGTGGACAAACTGTTCATGACTCCTGTACTCTTCATATTTAATAGCTAATGGGGGAAAAGTAACATTAAATCACTATACAAATAAATGTGTATAATCAAAATTTGTACAATCCTTGGGACGTAAGAACTAGAGTCTATCACAGAGACAATTAAGAGAGGATTTGGGGATGGATATTATCCAAACAAAACTGGATGTTGGCCAGCAAAGTAGGGTGGTTAAATAGGTCATGGACCATCAAGGTCACTATTGGGTCTGAGTGTCTAGAGTATTTCTGTTTATTTGATGTGCTCAGGCCAAATCCACTGACCTGAATCTGCTACTTCCCAACGAGGACCCTTTTTGGAGGACAGGGGTATAGTAAATGAGAAAGCTTGGGAGGATTTATGCAAATATATTATCACTATGGAGATAGTAATCTTAAACCCATACATTATGACACCTGGAGTAGTAACATTTTCCTATGTAAAAGATGCTGTACCAATAACCAGCAAGAATGGAGCTGACCTTGCTGAGTGAAACCAGTTCCTCCACAGCACAGACAAGAGTCGATCAACTATAAAGCTTGACAAAATAAGTCAGTCAGAGAAAGACACATACCATATGATTTCACTCATATGTAAAATTTGAGAAGCAAAACAAGCAAAGGGAAAAAATGAGAGAGAGAGACAAATCAACATACAGACTTAATTGTAGAGAACAAACTGATGGTTACCAGAGGGGCGGGGGTGGGGTGATGGGTGAAATAGGCGGTGGGGATGAAGGCGTGCACTTGGGACGAGCACAGGGTGTTGTATGGAAATGATGAGTCACTATATTGTACACCTTAAACTACCATAACACTGTATGTTAACTAACTGGAATTAAAAACTTAATATAAAGCTTGAAAATGTTTTATTTATTTCCACAGACTTTGTCATAAGTGCCAAATATGCTTCTGTTTCCTTTCAGAGTTTTACGATATTTATGGGAAAAGCAGTTTTCCTGTCTTTCTTTTAGTCATGAGATTCATGTAATGAATAGAGTGTAATGGTTTAGAGCATGAGCTCAGGAGTGAGAAAATGGATTTGATTACAGTTTTGCACTTCTTACGCTCTCTGCAACATTGGGCAAGTTACTTTATCTTACTAGCTTCAATTTCTGTATCTATAACGTTAGAATGAAAAATAACCCTAATACTTACAGAGTTATTATGAGGTTTAAGCTTGATAATATTAAGTTCTTAGTATAGTAGCTGGCAAATATTAAGTGCTTAGGAAATTACTGTTAGTTTTTCTTTCTTCATGGAACTTTCTACTATTGGAAATTCCCTTTTTTATTTATCTTGCTTTTTTTTTTTAAGATTTTTTATTTATTTATTCATGAGAGACAGAGAGAGAGAGAGACAGAGGCAGAGGGAGAAGCAGGCTCCCCGCAGAGCAGGGAGCCCGATGCGGAACTCGATCCCAGGACCCTGGGATCATGACCTGAGCCGAAGGCAGACGCTTAACCAACTGAGCCACCCAGGCGTCCCTATTTATCTTGCTTATTTCTTGACTGTCTCCCCTACTCCCCCACTTAGTGACCATGCATATCCTGTTCATGGCTGTATCCTTAGGAATGGTATCTGGCAGTAGGTGCTTAGGAACTATCTGTCCAATGGATAAATAATGGTTTGTATATTATTCATGCCTATTATGAGCACTCACATTGGAAGGTACAACCATGAACATTACCCAGCGTCTGCTTCCATTTAGTGGGACAGACAAATAAATCTAAAGACTTGTACCATTACTGTCAAGGCAGTGAGGGCTCAATATGTACTTTAAAAAGAAAGACTTTTTTTATAGAATTTAAGGTTCATAGCAAAACTGTGGAAAGTACCGTGAGTTCCCGCATACCTCCTGCCCCCACACATGCCCCCACTATCAACATCCCACACTACAGTGGTACATTTGTTACAGTCATTGACAGACACGTCATTATCAACCAAGGTCCATAGTTAAGTTAGGGTTCACACTTGGTATTGTACATTCTGTGCGTTTGGACAAATGTATAATGACATGTATCCATCATTATAGTATCATACAGAATAGTATCACTGCCCTAAAAATCCTCTGTGCTCTGCCTATTCATCTCTCCCTCTCCCCACCCCAATCCCTGGCAATCACTGATTTTTTTATTGCCCCCATAGTTTTGCCTTTTCCAGAATGTCACATGGTTGGAATCGTTCAGTATGTAGCCTTTTCAGATTGGCTTCTTTCACTTAGTAGCATGCAATTAAGGCTCCTCCATGTCTTTTCATGGCTTAATAGCTCATTTCTTTTTAGTGCCAAATAATATTCCATTGTCTGAATGTACCACAGTCTATTTATTCAGCTACTGAAGGGCATCTTGGTTGTTTCTAAGTTTTGGCAATTAAATGATAAAATAAAATAAAATAAAATAAAAGTGCTATAAACATCCATCTATAGGTTTTTGTGCAGATCTAAGTTTTTGGCTCCTTTGGGTAAATATCAAGGAGCAAAGATGCTAG